TTACATATTTAAGGTGATTGCTTGTTAAATTTTGTTTATCTGTTTTACCGATAATTTTTGTTTTGTCTTGTGTTTCTGGATGAATTGTGGAGAAAAGGGCTTGTAATTTAGACTTAGGTTTTTTCTTAGAAACATACAGGGATTTTGTGAGGTCTATTTCCGGAATATCTTCGGTATTTTCGTTTTGTCTATCTAAAAGTTGTCTTTTTTGTTTTTGTTTATTATATAGTTCTGCAATGAAGGGTTGGAGTTCTTCTTTATGTCTCTGATTATATGTTTCATATATCGGAAGATTAAAGTCGAAATGTATTTCTTCTGCATAGGGTCCCTACAAAATTGAGAAACGGGAATAATCTGTGGAACTGTGGATCAATTGGTTGTAAATGAGAATGGCATGTGTTAGAATGTCACCTAACGAATCATTTGGATTTTGGGCTTGTAAATTCCTAAGTTTTTCAATAAGAGTTGAATGAAAGCGCTCTACAGGAGAGTTTGAGGAAGAATTGTTTACTGTTGTAAAATGTATTTCGATTTTGTTGATGTTTAGGAATTCTTTAATGACTGCGGACTTGAATTCGGTGCCGCTGTCGCATACAATCTTTTTTGGGTAATTGTGGTGCGAAAAGTAATGTCTCAATTTATTAAGTATGGAAATGGAAGTTTTGTCGGTGAGCTTATAGCATTGACCGTATTTGGAAAATGAATCTATTATTGTGAGGTACAGGTTTTTCTTGCAGTGGAATAGATCGATATGTAATATATCAAAAGGTTTTTGACCTACCAACGGTCCTAATTAGGGAAGTTTGTAAGGACGTCGTTCGTATGTACTTCTTAGACAAATTTCGCATTTATTGATAAAATTTGAAATAGTTTTCTGCATTGAGGGCCAATAAAATTTTTGTTTTAAGTGTTTGTAAGTTTCAATTATTCCGTTGTGATTTTCTATGTGATATTTCTTTATGCATTCTATTTGTTGATTTTCTTTTTCTGTGTTCTGAAGTTGTATATTGCCAAATATTGCTTTGACTGTGGAATTTATTTTTTTTTTTTAAAGTTACAGATAAAAGGCCTATATTCGTGAGGGATTGTCATTGCAAATTTTTTGTTTGGTCTAAGGATATTTTGGAAGGTATTTGCTATTTCTGTTTTCCAATTATTTGTCAAAGTAACAGTGTAACGGTGTTTGTTAAAACTTCTTTTGTATTTTATTTCAAAATTATTTGACTTTGGTTTGAAAATAATTTGGTTTGACGATAAATTAATTGGTTCAGGTGAAATCTCAATTCCAGTGATAGGGTTCTCAACTGATGTGTGTTGTGTGTTAGTACTGTTTTGTAAGTTGTCGAAAACGGCAAGGAAATCGTCAATGTCGAAATTGTCGGGTGAGTCGACACATTCTGAACTAGAGCTTAGGGCATTTATTTGGACTCGGCTAAGAGCATCGGTAACTTGATTCTCTTTGCCTTTCTTATATTTGACTTCAAAATCATATTTTTCTAGTTTAAGTTTCCATCGAGCTAATCTAGAAGTGATGTCTTTAGTTTTGTAGATCCATACGAGAGGATTGTGATCTGTTTCTACAGTGAATTTTTGGTTGTAGAAATACATACGGAAGTGTTTACAAGAATCTAGTATGGCTAAAAGTTCTTTTTCTATAGTGGAGTAATTTTCTTCTGCGGAATTAGGAGTTCGAGAATAGTAGGCAATAGGGTGGTTGTTTTGAGATAATACTGATCCTATAGCTATATTAGAGGCGTCTGTAGTCAGCACAAAAGGCTTTTTGAAGTCTGGGTATTGTAAAACTGGGAATTAGATAGCAATTGTTTGCATTTTGCAAAACATTCTTAATAATTTAAATTAGTAGGGTCAATAGTTGCTCCTTTTCGAGTACATCTCGAAAATGGGGAAGTTATTTTGTGAAATTGGGTATGAATCTTCGGTAGTAACCGATTAAACCAAGAAATGATTTAGTTTCTGTTACTGTTTTTGGTAGAGTGTATTTTTGTATAGCTTCGATTTTTGCTGGGTTGGGTTTAATTCCTTCGGTTGTCACTACGTGACCTAAGAAAGAAACGTCTTTCGTGAGGAACTCGAATTTATCTAACTGAATTTTTAAATGATTTTTTCTGAAAGTGTTAAAATAGTAGCAATATGAACTAAGTGTTCTTGCAGTGACTTGGAAAAATTAATGACATCGTCCATGTAGACGAAGCAAAACTTATGAATAATGGGCCTAAGAATATTTTCCATTAACCTTTTGAATGTTGCTGGGCTATTCTTTAAACCAAAGGGATGCATAAAAATTCAAAGTGACCATGCGGAACTGAAAAGGCTGTTTTCCGAATAGAATCCGGATGAACTTCAATCTGATGGTAACCCTGAACTAAATCTAAAGTTGTGAAATAACTGGCTTTTCCTAAATTATAGAGTATTTCATCTATCTGGGGAAGTGGGTAACGATCACTGTCGGTATGATCATTGAGCTTCCTGTAATCAATTACTAATCTAAATTTTTCCTGACCTGAGGCATCAGCTTTTTTTGGTACTATCCAAACTGGAGCTGAGTACGGTGAAATTGACAGTCAAAATATTTTATTATCTAATAAATCATTTATTTGTTTTTTTAGTTCCTCCTGCATTGTTTTAGGATGACGAGAACCTTTTGCGTAAATCGGATTTTCATATTTCGCTTTAATTTAATGTCTAACAGCTAACGGGAAAGTTAAATGTTTATTTTCATTGTAAAACACGTCTTTGTATTTTTTACAAAGATTTATAATTTTATACTTTTCTTCGTTGTTTAAGTGCGAAGTTCGTATTTTATTTTCAGTGAAACCAGATGCCAGGTGCGATATTTCATAGTTACAGAAATTCTCAACTTCGATTCTCTTAATAAATTCTATAGGATACTGTAATTTGATAGTTTCTATGAACCCATTCTTTGCAACGTAAATTGAATTTGGAATGTTTATACCTTGAATTTGTCATTCAGGGAAAATATTGTCACAGTTATAAATGTTTACGGGGATTTTTTGATATAATGTTTGAAATGGAATGCTAACATGAGGATTCTCAAAGGTTAACATATGAGTCGCTTAATTGATAGTGGCGTTGATGAAACGTTTTAAATCGTAATTTCCTAGTAAGATATCAAAGTATTGGCTGAAATCAGCTATTTTGACGTCGAATGTCTGTGGAATTTCCTATTACATAAATAGTGGCGTCTTAATATTTAATTCATGCTTGGAAGTAATTTTCATTGACGTTAGTGAAAAATATTTACGATAAATATGTTTTTTATCAAATAGGTTAAGAGCTCGCGGATTTATAATTCAATGGGAACCTCCGGTGTTAATCAAAACGCGTAGATGTGTTTTGGGTGTGACGAAGCAAGGTGAACCCAGGGAACTTTCTATATTATGTAGGTTTATACAGGGGGTGGATGATCGTGTAACGGAATGGCTTGAAAATCCTGATGATTTTCATCATGCAAATCGGGCTCTTGTTCGGATTCACAATTTTCGAAATCATTTTCGAAATATTGGGTATCCTTCGAAATATTGGAAGGATTGATTTTGTTCGTAAGAACCGAAATTTTGTCTCTGAGGAAAATTATAGTTCTGTTGTGGAGTGAAGTTAAAGTTGGGCTCTGTGTTATGGAAAGGTGTGTTGTGAGTCGAAGGTCTCACATAATTTGAATGTGTCGCTTGGAAGTTTGAGTGTGTGGGTTGGAAGTTTGTGGATCTTTGATTATTTGAAGATTGATAGGGTTTATTTATGATTGGGGACTTTTTATTTTGTTGGCTCTTAAGGAAGTTCGTGTATTGCTGTTGATTTTTGTGATTGTCATATGCAATACACTTTTGAAGGGCTTCTTCTAGGGAATTTAGTTCAAAATGCGATAAGTATTCGCAATAAGGTTCGTTGATTCCAGTACAGAAGGTCTTAAGGGCAATGTTTTTAAAGTATGGGGTTTCAAAAGTTACTGTCGCGGGATTGACGTTTAGGGTGATGTGTTGTAGTAAGTCATTTATATTTGTAGTTATTATTTGATGAAAATTGTCGTAAGATTCACTATGTTTTTGGACGGTGGTGGATAATTGTGTTACTAATATGTCTTCGGAATGTCTGTCTCCGTATTTAGTTAATAAGGCTGGACGAATCTCTGTCCAATTAGTTTTGTTTGAATAATTTAAGAAATTTAATTCTCCTTTAATTCGAGATACGATATGGGAATTTAGAATAAACTCTTGGGACGGATTTAAATTTTGGGTGCCTAAGGAAACTATTAGATTACCTACTGCTTTAATAAAGGTGGAGAAGTTGTCTCCAGAAGAGAATTCGGGCAGGGTTGAGCAAAGTCAAGCAATATCGCTATTGGTCATTGGCATTTTGGAATGTAATTTAGATGCAGGCTTGGATTTAAAGATTTGTAGATTCCTTTTTATTTTAAAATTCAAATTATCGAATAGTAAACTTAAATTTTCGATACTATTTTGGGAAATATTATTCAATATACTCATAAAATATATGCAAACATGTAAAAATATAAATACAAATATATAAAAAATTCCTTAAAGTCAAAATATTTCAAATAATATAAATTCAATAAACAATAAATAATTAATTCAATATAAATGTTTAAAAAATTCAATAAAAATATTAAATGCTCATAAACAATTATAAAGAAAGGAACAATTTACGCAAGGATGATCGTGTTTGATTTCCAATACATTTTTCTCTTTTACCAGGTTCTTCAGGATTTCATCAAACTAACGTAGACCAGGAAATGACTGTTTCTTTAATTTTCAACTTTCACTTTGACAGTTTGAACACTTCCATAAGTAACTTCGTATTTCTTAGTACTCCTTAGAATTTTTTAATTCAATGCTTAGTTAATATTTTAGCAATACCTAGCAGTATGATATAAACTACCTATATAAGCCTAAAAATTAATAATAATGGGTATTTTATATTAAATTTATCTTTTTCTGTTTTAGTATCTCGATGACACCAATGAAATTATTACATACTCGGATATTTTAGAATGGAGTGTAAGTGTAGCAACTAAATTAAAAGAAAGAGGAATAACTGAAAATGATATAATTTGTAGTTGCAGTCATAACCAAAAATTTAGTGCAATTCCTTTCATAGCAACTCAATTTTTAGGAGCAGTAATATGCAACCTTGATCCTAAATTATCTCATATAGATACAGTTCATTTACTTAAGTTAATTCAGCCCAAAATTTTTTTTGTAGCTGAAGAGTCTTTACATTTTATAGAAAAATGTCTTAATAAAGCAAATATTACAACCGATATGGTTGTTTTTGGTAAGAGTAATAAATATACTCAGTTTTCAGAATATATTATAAGTGTTGATAAAAGAAATTTTAAACTAAAATCAATTTTGGACAATTCTGCACCTGCGGCCATATTTTGTAGTAGCGGTACAACTGGTTTACCTAAAGGTATTTGCCTAAGTCACAGGGCATTGATTAAGTCAGCAACTTTAAATATCAGTCTGGATACTAACGAGCCAACGGTGCCAAGTATTATTCTAATGTATCCGACTCTATATTGGATTAGTGCAGCATTTAGTTTAATACGAGCTACTCTCATGGGCTTTGCTTCCGTTGTTTGTAAGGATTTTGATCCGGCACATACGTGGAAACTTATCGAAAAATATAAGGTAAGCTAAATATTCTGGACTGACATTTATGATAATATATCAAATTACAATCAATAATAAAACCGTAGTAGCTATATATTATGTATATTATGCTTTTTGTATGTTTGTGAAAAAATCTTGCTGCTCGTGGAAACATTATATCTTTAAGTTGTTTCAGTTGTTGATTTAATTACAGAGTATGGTCACCAGGTTCATTATCTTCAAAATTTTGGACCGAACCAACTCTGCTGCTGATTTTTCAACACTTCCGAGCAACTAAACTTTTTGTTAAACACTGATGAGGTTATTTGGTCATGTTGAGGTTTGGAGCAACATAGTCAGATATGGAGATATCTTTCAAAACGATAAAATGGTCTCTCTATTTTTTGATAATCACCCTAAATCTAATTTTTGTCCTATCTGCATAATTTGATAAATATTTTTTAAACTTTTATTCTAAGACGATTTATGTGAACAATCGGTGGTTTCACTTACGACAGGTATTTGGTATATTACAATATTTATAAGGTATCTTTTTATTTCATACGGACAATTGAAAGAATTGTTTCAATATCATTGTTGATTATGACCAATGTGGGATCACCACATTTTTGCCTTGTGAGACTTTTTGGTTTTGTTGGTTCCAGTCAAAGTTTTTGTTAGTTTTCCTATTAGGCACGACACCTTGCGAATGGAAAATCATTTATGTATATGGTCGCTGCCTAGGTATCGCCAGGAAACGTATGAAGTCGCCGCTGGACGTGACAGCATGTGGGAAGTTGATGGCAAGTTGTTAATGAGACAAGTTCCTGTCACACAATTAACTACAGCATAACAACAAAAACAACCAAAAGCAAGGCAAACAGATTAATAAGAGCTTTTACTTACTTTTGCGCTTCTATTGCAAGGTGATAAACAATGGTCAAGAATCCATCGACTATCGAAAACATTTGTATTCCGAATTTTGCACAGAGTACACAGAAGTTTTAAATAATTACTTTGTTAAGAATAATAATCTATATAAATTTTGTATTCGCCTACTTACTACACATACTTACCATATTAAATCTCAGCAAATCCATATCAAATCCAAATCAGACTGAGATCCTGACCAAATTAGAAGATATAAACTGAACAATTGCATTCGATAACGAAGACTATATTTAAAATTATCGAGTCAGTCAGGTAATCTAACCTAACTTAATAATTTTAATGTATTGTTACGACAGTTCCGTCAGATTTATTTCATATAGAGAGAGTCCCTTGATGAAATGAAAGAAATAATAAAGAGAAAGAAAAAAAAAGCAAGTCTTAGGAAGCCACTCTAACATGGCTAACTCTATTGCTATAGACGCAAATAGCGACATCTGAAATTAAAATCCGTGTACTAATTTTTTCGAAACCAAAATCAGATTTTTGCTTTAATCTGTGCCTTCTAAGAATTGCAAGGTAAAACAGACGTTGACAAAGATGTTATTAGAGACATGGTTAATCTAAAACTTGCATTCCACAGCATATCTCCTCTTATATAAAACTTGCATTCCACGGCATGTCTCCTCTTATATATATATATATATATATATATATATATATATATATATATATATATATATAAAGAGGAGATATGCCGTGGAATGCAAGTTTTAGATTACCCATGTCTCTAATAACATCTTTATCAACGTCTGTTTTACCTTGCAATTCTTAGAAGGGAAGGCACAGATTAAAGCAAAAATCTGATTTTGGTTTTGAAAAAATTAGTTTACGGATTTTAATTTCAGATATCGCTATTTGCGTCTATAGCAATAGAGTTAGCCATGTTAGAGTAGCTTCCTAAGACTTGCTTTTTTTGCATAGTAATATTATGATGTTTAATTAATAAACTTACTTAAACAGTGGTTAAAGAAATAATTTATAAGTTATATACTAGCGAATATTATTAAAAAATAATTAAGTTGCAGTCAGGCATGAATTTACAGTCAATTGATTAAGTTACAGAAGTCAGTCAGTCAGTTACAATTTATTAAGTTAGAATAATGCATGAAGTGATTAAGTTAAATTAAGTTAGAACACGGCATTAAGTTAGATGAAGTTAGCCAGACAGTTACAATTAAATTAAGATTAATCAAGAAAGTTAGTTCAAGACAGTTATAATTAACTTAAATTAGAAGAAAGGATTAACTTAGAAGAATTCATTAAGTCAGATACAATTGGAGAGTATGAGAGTAAATTAATTCAATATAGACCGTTCAATACAGGAGTATTATATATTATATGGAGATTACAAGAGTTTTAGATTATACTATCTATATGCAATTTCACAAATACAATAATAACCGAGGCTGATTAAGAAGATATTTAGTGGTGATTATAACTTTGATTTTGCAAAACTTTAGGCATTCAGTGATAGAAAGGTATAGTCGACACGTAATTTAGTGAGAAAATTTATAGGGCCCAGAGCGAGCAAAATCCTAGAAAATGATAACAATGTTAGACTGGCCACTGCTTCGTTTAGCAGTAGCGTAGATATCTAATTTTAAATTAGATAAAAAAGTTTTTATTTTTATTAATTTTATTTAAGAAAAAGTTTCATTTTCTATAAAGTTTAAAGAAAAAATATTGGTGTTGTTAACTTCTGTGATATATCTAGGGAGTGATAACACTAATAGGCTCACTAAACAGAATTTATTGTAAAATAATAATACCTGTAAAAAATTGTTAATAAAAGTAATTATCACATACAATTAAACAATTTTTTAGGTAAAAGTATTTTAGTATACAAACGTTTTAGTAACACAACTACAAATCTTAATTATGCTGGATTTTCACAGATCCGATATCCGATGACACGAAATACGAAATTTTTTTGTACGAATATCTTTCATTGTCGTATCCGAAATTTTTTGACATATATGTGTTATGTGTCAGATTATTGGATAGATTGATATTTATTTCAATGAACTGTCAATAAATGTTAGCTGTTTTGTTTGATATATAATATATATATATATATATATATATATATATATATATATATATATATATATATATATATATATATATATATATATATATATATATATATATATATATATATATTATATTGAGCTACGTTCTCGTAATTTTTGCTCACATAGTGTAGAAGACCCAAAAGCAACACTTTATTCATTGCATTTATATATTAATTAGGTCTTTGTTCCATTTTAAGTATATTTCAAATAGTAAACATAAACACTCCACAAAAAAAATGGTTAAGGTTCAAGTTAGAAATGTCAACAATGTCAAAATTCATCCGATTTTCGTACAAAAGTTAAAAGATTTTTAACTTCTTCCGATGACTTTTAATTTCGTACGAAAATTATACCTGTCATTTTTCAACCAATGAAATTCTCTGAAATTTATATCGTATCATCGTACCATCGGATATCGGACCTGTGAAAATCCACCTTTATTGGTTGAGTTACAAGGTTTCATGTGTCACCTCGATTTGTCGATTTGTAGAATGTCATTCTAGATTGGTTTTATTTATGTTCACGGATGGAACCTTGGCATTGTAATGAGTCAGAATTGCGTTGTTAGCCAGCGCTGTAGTCAGATCAAAATATAGGGAAGATCAGTTGGAACCTTTTTACATTAATAACTCCAAATATGCGATTTTGTTAGTTGGAACCCTGTCATTTTAACCTAACGATATGTTGCACGTTTTTGTTTTATCTTGAAGTGTATTTGTACTCTATTTTCAAAGATATATAAGCAAAACGAGAATATCTACAATTACAATAAAAATAAAGGTTTCAACTAACACCTAGTTGGAAATAAGAACTTAAAAATCTACTCAGATTTACTGTTATCACTAGTATCAGTTGTATCTTCTAAATTTATAGTTGATTTGGGTATTGCTGGTAAATATTTAACATAGTCATTTTCCACTTTGATTACATGTTTGATTACATTTTTGCAGTTGGTTGCTGTGATCTTTGTGACTTCTCTTCTAATTAACTGGAGAGCAGTAGACAAAAATTTAGGAGCCACGTTTTTTCTTCTTCTATTTGCTTCAAGTTGAGTCCATATTAACTCTATTGGGTTCAATTTACAATAGTAAGGAGGAAGTCCAAGCACGGTATGCCCATTACTGCGAGTACAGTTATCAACAACATATACCTTCTGGTACTGTCTACTATAAACAATTTTTAACAATTGCTTTTTACTATGATCCCTCAAAGCACAAATCTCTCCCAAATAAAAATTCTTGAATTTGTTTCAAGTACTATTTGGAATTTTCTCATTAATCTTAAATGATATGATACGTTGTCCATATAATAATCACACTATATTTAGGTAATCTCGGAAGAAGAGATTCTTGAAACCATGATTCAAAAATTAAACTTTTCATGTCTTCATGATAATCTAAAGACGCATCTTTATTCTTTTTTTGCAGATATTAATAATACATAATCGATCCATCTATTTTCTCCACCGCAGTGTAAGATTATAATTCTCTGTCGTGTCATAAGTATCACACCAAGTCTCATCTAAATAAACAAGATTTCGTTTCATTTTTTGATACTCAGTTATCTATCGGATAGAAATGTCTCTTTAAGAAATAATTATTCTAGTACTTTCCATTAGTGTTTGGCGCTTGTCTATAGTTTTTTACTTAAAATTATGAATTTTAAGAAATCGTCAAAGTTTTGTTGCTAAATATAAGAGAATATCCTTTCGAACCAGTTCACTTCGAAAGTTTTCAATAGTTGGAAAAATATTAGCCACTTCCATTTTATATATTGTTCTGATTATATGTTCCTTTAGGTGCGGTTCTATTTGTGTGAATTTGCACAATCCTTTCTCACCTGTCTAGAAGATGATGTTGCTCCTATAGTCTTGTATCAGATTGCTTTCGACACTCTGATAAGCATGTTTCTACAATTGTTTTTTATTTAGACAATTTAGAACACAATCCTTCATAAACATGTTTCAGCATAATGTTTGGGATCATCCGAGAGATATTGAAAATGTCGCTTACA